CAGGCTTTAACCCGCCGGCCGCACGGAGAGACGGACTGCTCACCCCCACCGCCCGGGAAGACCTGCCGCAGAGGAGGAGGAGCCACGGGCTTTAACCCGCCGGCCACACGGAGAGACCTGCCGCTGCCGCGCCACCCGGAAGACCACTGCCGGCACACTTCCGGCCTGGCTGCACCACACCTGGCCGGCACGTGCTTGGCGTGCCCTGCTCCGCCCCCCTCCTCCGGCGCAGGTGAGAGCTGTGCCACTCAGGGGGAGCAGTGCGGAGGAGGAGGAGCCGCGGGCTTTAACCCGCCGGCTGCATGGAGAGACGGACTGCTCACCCCCACTGCCCGGGAAGACCTGCCGTTGCTGCTGCATCACCTGGAAGACCACCGCAGGCACGCTGCCGGCCTGGCTGCACCACACCTGGCCGGCACGCGCTCAGCGCACCCTGCTCCGCCCCCCTCCTCTGGCACAGGTGAGAGCTGTTAATCACAGGTCAGTGTGTGTTTTCAAATGGCAGCCCGTCTTTTAATGAAGCCCATGGGGAAGTGATGGGGAATGTGCCTGTGATTATCAGGAAGCTTTCCATGGATCCCTCCTCTAAAAACTAGGTGAGTCTTATGGTCAGGTGCATCTTATAGAGTGAAAAATGCAGTACTTGCTGAAAGCCAGATGTCCAAATTAAGATAAAGACACCAGGTCCTGTACATTTGTAGCCATATCATATAGTTTTCTTGATCCCTTAATATTTATGTATGAAAGTAAGCCCATCATTCCCTGTTGTTTGCTAAATCTGTTACTAGTAATATTTAGACTAAATAAAATCTCCCATTTTTGCTATCTGAACATGGAAGAAATTCCAAGGCTAGCAGTCACCAGATGGCACTACTACACTATAACAATGCTTGACATCAATTGACCTGAAACAGATCTCTCTAATTTTCTGGAACTCTCCTAGATACAGATATAGATACAGATACTTTAAAATATTTGGGTCCTTTGCTATGGAATCCAATTTTAGGGAGTACTCCAGCCAAGTAAACTTGCTAGTGTAAAAAGAGACAAATGTTATGAAAGTGGTCTTGGGAAAGGCTGGAAGAAGTGCTGTTCCATTGACCTTGGAGATGTGAGTGGCGAGGACTGTCAGCTTCCCTTCCGCAGTACGTTTCCACCAACGCAGCTGCAACGTGCCAGTGCGTGCCTGAGCACATCCACCTTGGTTGGCCTTATGGTGAGGTCCCTACACATGTGCGGTGCTGCAGCTGCCCACTATGCTCACTCACAGACGCACTCGGAAAGCACATCACAAAAGAGGCGATGTGGTGCCTTAGTAAGGTCCTTTATGTGGACCCTCTAGGACACCCGAGCTTGTCTGAAGCAGGTTTCACTGAATTACACTAGCATGGTTAAAGTTGCAAAGGAGTGACTGGGGGACGGCACAGTCAACCTCTCCATCCCAGTGGATCAGTTCCTCACTTGAAAGCTCAGTGGACAGACCTCGACCGGGTTTCCACACCTGTCAAGCCCCCCTTGTTGTGTCAGGGGAACCTACTGCGGCTTTTTGGTGTGGTTTGTTGAGGAGTTTAGCAGCCACCCCAGGCTTGCCATGGCACGTACACCTGGATGTTACAAGACGCCTGGGGTAACCCTGACCACTTGCCCGCCGTGTGGCAAGAGCAGCAAGAAGTCCTGGCCAGCCTAACCAAGCAGGCTGGCCAAACCACGACTGTCAAGGTTGGCAGCAGCGCTGACAGCCCTGCCTGCCTCTTGCAAAGGCTGTCCCCTGTTCCTTCACCTGCCTCCCCATTCCCACCAACAAGCAGAGACAGAGAAAGGGGGCGCCGTGGTGCTCTCCCAGTGCCCCATGGGATTCCTGCGGGAGGACCAAAGGGGATGAGGGAGAGGGAGTCATGGAATGCAGCCGCTCACCTGCCAGGCACGTCGGGAGTAGGTGCTTTCCAGGCCTGGAAGCAGCTGCCTGGCTTCATGTGGTGCACAAGCTGCCCACTGCGGCAGAAAAACTGACGGCAAGGAGCCCGCTTAAGTGGGGAACCCGAACTCTTGGCTGCTTAATTGGTACCTTTCCTGAAGTGGTCACTTGGTTAAAATAACCGAGTGGAGAGAAGCTGCTGGTTTCTGCAGGATGTGAACGCTTTGGCTGAGTAATTACCACCACTTGGTATCATCATCACCACCCTCATCTTCATTTCTATGTCAAACAATTGCCAAACCTCTCTGGGGGACTACAGTAGTTCATACCAGAAGTACAACAAAGCAGATAATCGTAAAATATACATGCAATGAAATACAGCAAAATATAGCAAAAATGTATGAAAGTTAAAACCATTAAAAAAAAAACCTGAAAGAATTTCATTAAAAATAAGGCCTGTTAGAACAGCTGACAGGTCTCATGACAAGCCATTCAAGGCCAGGGCAAGAGAGCAGGCTTACCTCAATGCCAACAAGCTGGCACACCTAACTATAAAACAAAACCACATGCAACATGTTTAGAGCCTTCACATGTAGATTTAAGAGCAGACATCACACAGGTCTGCATTCCAGCATATACTCCCTTAGCCGGAGGCTGGCATGAGGTTAGCCCCCTGCATTATTTTTGTTACACAGAAGCCATATTTTAACCTGAGCTGTGATGTGTGACATAATTGCAGCTTCCCCCAGCTTGGTACCCTCCAGACGTGTGGGATTATAATGCTCACGGGGGTTTATGAGAGTTGCAGTCCAGCCCATCCGGAGGCACCACATTGGGGTGAGCTGTGTTGTAGATGGGCCTGTAGCAGCACTGCATTCCGACAGCCCAAGACTGATGATTTAGAGTACCTTGTAACTTCGAGTACTAAGATGGGTAAATTCCAGACATACTTGTAGCAAATACAGCAAGAAAGTTGGGACTGTAAAGATTACTGAACATATGAATGACTTATCTAAGGATAAGGGAAATAGCAGGAACCTGCAGACTTTCTAGAATGCACTATAATCAGGATAGGAGAGCAGTTTCAGCCCCAGCAATCTTGCTGCCCGAAGGACGATCTAAACTCCTGCTAGAGCAAATACTTTGCAAGGCCTCGAGACAATGGCCAGACAATAATTTCTAACTTATATCTGCATACCTCGCTCCTCATGGAAAGGCCAGCCCTGCAAAAAAAAGCATCTTCCCCATTTGTTTTCTGAGCCGTCAATTCACAACCATCATCGTAAGCAGTTATTACGAGGCAACAGTTGTGTGCAGGTTGCCCCATATTGCATGCAGGTTGCCCAGCTTCTGCCTGGTTGGCTTCAGAAAGACAACCTCCAAAGGCCAGGGCATCAGGAAGCCAGCAATGTGGGCCAGAGGCACACAAGAGACCACGAAGCAGGACAGTGGCCAGGCTCCAGTGGCCGAGTCGAGTGAGAAAGGTCTGAGGTGAGGTGCAACATCTCACTGAAAGGCAACTGTGGGGGATGAGAAGCAGGCCCTGTGGCAAGAACCTGGCGAGGCTGCGCTGCTGTCCTTCCCTGGGTCATCGACTAGGTCAACTGACATTGACCAGCTAACTAGCTCAGTAGATCTGGCAGGAACAGGATGGGAGAAGCAGGGTGGCTCCTAGCAGTGCCTATGTGTGATCCTTGTTGCCTTAGGGTGTCCCTGGTCTAGTCAAAACGCATGCAAAATGTTGGCTGAAAGGACTCGGAAATAACTTTTTCCTCTAGTAACTGAGGAAAAGTTCAGAGCTGAACTTTTAAATGGGCCCAAATGTAACTTTTCCTGATGCACAGCACTGATGAGCTAAAAAAAGTTATTTCCAAGGACTCTATCCTGCCCACCCCCATAAAAGATAATTCCAAAAATTCTTAGTCAAACTAACCCAAATCTGACCTTAGGGCAATGGCTATGCTTATTAGAGTTCAATTGTTCACTGTACATGTTTAAGAACATAAAAAGAGAAATAATCTAGAGTATATCCATATGGAGAGTTCCTACTAGTAGCAGTCCAAAGGCATTGGGCAGGTATCCATTTTTCCCTCCATAATGGATATTCTGTGATTTTAAGAAAAAAATGAGATAGACGTGGTGGGAAAACATGGGAAGAAGAAAAGGACATTATTTGGATGTCTTTCTAACCCACATGCAACAGAAGTTGACGAATGAGGCAGGGCAACTGCATGATGTCATGGTAGGAATTAAAGATAGCATAGCACTCCTGTTCTGTTTTCAAAGGTATTTATTTAAAAAAATAACAATTTACAAATAAGGATACACTTTAATGAAGTAAGTATGTTAGGGTTGTAAAACATACCTTCACAGAATATTGGTACTGACAAGTTATGAGTGTTATTTTTACAGTTTTCTATATCACAACTATATTGCCACAAAATTTCAACCACACCCACTCAGAAGTACATATAATCTTCATTTAACAATTGTTATATATTCTATAGTTACAATACCAAACCAAATGGAAATCTAATATTAACCCTATAGCATTCTATACATAAAACATATGCTTCAAATACATGAGTAAATATATTTAATTTTCCATATAACTTCAAAAGCAAGAAAACAAAGTTCTAGTTTCTTTAAATACAAACTGCAAAATGTATACTCTGAAGTCAAGGCATCTGGGGAAAGGGCTATCTGCCCTCTCAAGCAGGACATAATAAAATAACCAGCATCTCATTTTACAAGATCCCTTGGTTTGCCACTCATTTTGTCCACTAGCATGACTGAAAACAGTGTGAACTAGTTGACAGTGTCCAAAACACAGAAAACATAATGCAGCATTTTGGTAGCAAAAGTTCTGTTCCAAAAATTTTATTTATTCATTTATTTAAAACTTTTATATGCCGTCCCTTATGCATAGCATCTCAGGACGGCTTATAAATTCACCATTAGGTGTTCTTTTTAATGCATTGTCCAGTTAAAGAGAAAATATGGCAAAAAGTCTTTTGTGACTGCGTTTATTTAACATTTTGCTCCAAAGCAGAGTATTCCATCTCTGAAACCCTGGAAGTGTCAATCAGTTTGGTAAGACCAGTTTTAGCTGAGTACTTAAAGAGAAAAGCCTTCATGAGTTCATACTTGTAGTTTCGATTGATGAAGCTATAGAGAATGGGATTGATGCAGCAATGAACCAGAGAGAAACACTGAGTAACATTAAAGGCTGCGTAAAGGAAGTTCTCCATTTGACAGCTGAAGGGGATGAAATGGAAGGCCAAGAAGAAATCAAGCAAAACAATGATATGGTATGGCAACCAGCAGACAAGAAACACAATTACATAGGTAAAGATTATTTTCCCATTGCTCTTTCTCTCTTGGTCATTAGAGGTAGATATGGCTCTTGCTAGAAGATAATAGAAAATAGCAATGACGGGGAAGGGAATGATAAAACCTAGAACCACAGAGCTGAGTTCCACGCCGGCCAACCACTCTTTAGTATTCTCCTCTGGATAGACAGGGCGGCAGTAGGTTTCATTGTTGGAGGAAACAGTCTTCAGGTAATAAGTATCTGGAAGGGACGCAAAGAAAGCAAAGAGCCACACAAATACACAAATGCAACGGCGGATTCTCTTCTTGCTGACACTGCTGGAGGTTGTGAAGTAGGCAACAGAGAGATACCGATCCACACTCATGCATGCTAAGAAGAAGATGCTCCCATACAAATTGATAGAAAATACAAGGTGAGTTATCTTGCACATGATTTCTCCCATGTGCCACTGGCTCTGCTGAACAAGGGAGGCTACCCAGACCGGAAGAGTGATGATCACACACAGATCAGCAATGGCTAAGTTGAAGATATAGAGATGAGTTTCATAGCCAGTTGTTTTGGCTTGAAAGTTCATCCAGATGACCACACAATTTGCCATGAGGCCTATCATAAATATGAAGATATAACAAATTGACAATGTGTAGAGTAAAGCACTTCTGTTGAGCATATTTGGACATGATAAGGAGTCCACAGTGATGCAGTCTCCATTGTTGCAAGTCAAGTTTGTTTCCGTGAGGTTCTCCGCTTCCACGAGATCAAATATGGGAGGCAAATCAATGGTACTCATAGCTGACCAATTTGGAATGACTGGAATCTAAAAAAAAAAAAGAGTGGAAAAGCAAATATAAACATTTTGATTAAAGGTTAGCTGTTATTTACAAGTGCCTTTATTCTGAATACCTTTGCAAACTCCAGGAACACTTTGTACTCTATATGCCACTTTACAAAATGTCCTTTTAAAGTATTTTGAATCTAAACAAATTACAATAATGGATGAAGAAACACAATATTTATAGAATCAGGATGGTATACAATGGATAGCAAAAGCTGCTTTTCGTTCAACTTTTTCAAAAGTTACAAATCTGTAGGACATCAAGTCCACTTGCAGTTCCCACCTTTGAAATCCAAGAACTCACCACCAAAACGACAAATAATTATTGGGTGACTCTTCTGTGGATTAAATGATAAACAAGAGAATCTCCTCCTGCTGCTCAAGTGCTTTCAAAATTACAATTCTCAGGTGGCAATTTCCCTACAGTGAAGACTTCCCATTAGACTAAATCCTTTGAGTGTCAGGAAATTGCTGGCAAATTGAGTCAAGAAGCACAAACGTAAAGGGTTGCAGGACAGAGCCATCCATTTCTAATGTTCAAAGCATTTAAATTTTAGCAGGTTTTCTGGGGACTGTGCATAAAATTGGGAACTGTTTGTCTCGTTCAAAGATTTCTTCCAGAATAATCTTGAAGTAACTGGTTCAAAGGTGGCTGTAGGAGGAAGTGGTCATTTTGGAAGCCAATAATAATGGCAGACAATTGCTTTGGTTGGCACATAATGAATGGCTCAGGCAAATGCTTTTTTTCAGGATGCAAGGATGAACTTTAAAAAAATGTTCCTCTCTACACAGTGTTTGATTTTAAATATGACAACTGATGAATACTGTAAGATTAAATGGAGAAAAATAAGATGGCCAGATTGGGTTAAAGGGCAGACAGTGGCCACCATGATATAGTACTTTGGACAGCAGATACTGACTCAAGGTGGAGGAGGGTGCTGTGTGTGTCAAGAGGCTTGGTCTTCCCCATTAAGCCAGCCTACTGTCTCAGGAGTGGTCCCTCTTCAGTGACCAACTGTCCCTCATCAGTGACCAACAGCTAGTCAGTTGGCCACTGTATGGAGAATGGGGGCATCTTTTGGTGCCTCAGGCAACCAAAGGTCAGGCCAATCTTAACCACACTGCTTCAGATTGGACATAGAATCATACAATAGTAGAACTGGAAGGCCATCATGGTCAACTCCCTGATCAGTGCAGGCTTCCAAGGTAAAGCTTCCCTCTCAGATGGCTGTCCAGCTGCCTCTTGTATGACTCGAGTATGGGAAACAAGCTCCCTAAGTAATTGGTTCCATTGCCTTACTGCTCTAACAGTCAGGAAGGCTTTCCTGATGTGCAGCCATAATCTGACTTACTGTAATTTAACCCCATTATTTCCATGTCCTGCACTGTGGGATGCCTGAAATCCTCGGTGTGACAGCCTTTCAAGTATTGAAATGCAGTGTCCTATTTCCCCTCAGTTTTCTCAAAGTTACACATGCCAAGTTCTTTCATCCATCTTTCCCCACAGGGCTTTGTTTCCATTCCCTGAATCATCCTTGTTGCCCTCCTCTGAACCTTTTCCAGCTTGCTGACATCTTTCTTAAACTGTGGTGGACACAGTATTCAAGATGGGTCCTAACTAGTGCCAAATAGAGGGAACTAGTACTAGTTTGGGAAAGTACACTTGAGAAGCACTCTCCTGAGTTCCTAAAGATCATGATTAAAAACCATATATGCTAAGTTTTCTTTTCAGAATGTGTCTTTTCACCAATATATGTCGTGAATTTATCCAATCCTTTAAAGGAACTATTTGCATCACAGTAACAATCACAATATTCTGTAGCATTTAATAGATAAACTACAGATTGTGTGAAGAAGTATTTCCTTCTATTTCTACCAAATCTGCTGGCAATTAGTTTCAGCAGATTATCCTAAATTGTGGTGTTCTGGGATAGAATTGTTCACTTTTTCAAAGCTAATACTCCTTTCCATCCCACATTATGAAGTAACCACCTTCCTATTGGGAGTTCACCCACCCAGGCATTGACCAGACCTTCAAGGTCTGGTCCATTCCTCAAAGTGCACCATGGGAAATTAGATCGTCAGTCCTCCTAAGGTGGATTTTGCCTTCCCATGACATTCATGTGAACTGAATTTCTTTGTACTACCTGATACTACCTGAAGTATTCTGAACGTGGGTCCCCAAGGGTTTTCGTACTGCAGTTATACTGGCTTGCTCATTCTTCTGGCAACATGCCTACCAGTAAGAGAGAGGGATGTCTCTGTACTCAAGGAACCTCTTGTGATCCACCCTGGATCGTGTCAGTGGAGGCTCGGCCATTCAGGTCAAGAGGCTCAGGCAGAAACACATTGGGTGAAGTTTTTCCCAGAAAATAAATTCAAGAGCTTATTTTCATTTATTTAGAAGGGGAAAGGAAGGCGCCTTACCATGATAGATGAATTCCTATGAAAAAATGAGGAATAATACTAGGAAGTACCACAGAGAGCTAAATAGTAATAATAAAAAGGCTTCCAATCAACACTTCTTCAGGTTGTCCGGCATTTCTTTCAGCTTTTTAAGCTTTTAAAATTAAACTAACTGATTCTCATTGCTATAAATATATAGCAATTGAAAGATCAGAAGCAGCAGTTATTACAGGAATCAGCCAGGAGGAGAAATATCCAAAGCCTTCAGAAATAGTTCTTTTCTGACCTAACAATGGCTTTATCTTTGAGTAACTCCAGCAGGCTTTCTTATTCCGTTGTAGTCATAGTTCTGAAAATTTAAACTCACAGCAGTGAATCCAGCCCTTCTTCATCCATCTGTGATCTCATTTGTGACCAATCACTGCGCTATCAGAGGATAGCAGCCAACCAATCTAAACCTGAGGGAATGTGCTAGATGGCTTTGATCTAAGGCCGTAGCATAACGGACTCTGGGCAACATTAGGGTGAAACCCTCATAACCCCTGAGAAAAATTCTAAGGATGCTATGAGTCCACGTCAACTCTGATACTAATCCAATGCCTAACTGCATCTCCTACAGATGGCAGCATTTCCAAATCTGTGGAAAGAGCTGTTCTGTGGTTGGACTGTAGCACTAGACAAGGGACCAGCCAAATGCCTCCGTGCCTCTTAGCACAATCTCAACAGAATTTTTCAACTAAGTTGTTATTATCAACCTACACCACTGAATTTCTGCTCCTCAGTCTGGTATGTTTGTACACTTTTTCTCAGCAAGATTCCTCACTGACAGCTTTTGCACTAAGCAAGCTGCCCTTTGTACTCAAGAAAGTTTAGATTGCATGTGGGGAAATAAGTTGATATTCTATTTGCACACATGTGCATGCACATACTTCCAGACTGTCAGCCAAAAAGCTCTTCAAAAGTACATTTGTCACTTTTTGATCAAAAGGTGGAAGCCTTCAGTAATGTTGCTGAAACAGTGATGGTGCTTGTCCATCACAGAGCGAGCACAGTCCACATGACTGGATTGAAATGAATGCAGGTTTTCTTCCCCCTTTGGACAGGCCCACGTGCCATTGTCGTCTTTATGAACCTGCTTTGGTTTTCAGTTCCAACATTTTTCCTTCTCATGGCATACAAACGTCCTGAAACTCCCATACTTCTTCTTGGACTGTTTCCAGGGACCCAATTTAAAGAACTTGTTTATTGAAAGAATAAGCACTCCTTTCACTGTTTGTTCATGCCTTTGGGGCAGGCAGTGTTAATTTGATTTCATAAACTGTTAAATTTCCAAGTGAAACATATTTTTCTGGCAGTCTACATTTATGAATATCCCTGAATTTCCCCTCTCTCCCATTGATCATTCTTCTATCACAATGGAAACTCTGAGATTATTGTTGCTATCAACTATACCAGAACATAGTATCAGTGATAGCGGGATCTCTGGGAATGCACTTTTTGGAGAGAGAACCTACAGGCATTCTGAAACAGAATGAAGGACCAGTTGGGTATGGATATTTTGGAGAATATGCCTAAAGGTATCAGGCTCAATTCAAAGTGATCACTAGTACCTTGAAAACTCTAAACCTCCGAAGGATTAGCTTCCCTGAGATGTTTCTCCTAGGCCTTAAAATTGCCCAGGATTCCAGGAGACTTCCTGGTGGAAGAGGACCCATCCTAGTAGCTTCGTGGCAGTAGCGCTCTCCTGTTCCAGGACAGGCTTATTCAGACAACCCCCTCTGAGGAATCTGCTTGTAAAAATCTCTCTACTATTGGCGGCTGAGCTACTGTTGGGTTCACAAATCTATTAGATGGACTTTTCGAGTCAGCTTGCTTATTTTCTGCTGTTTTAAAAACTGTTAGTATACACTGAAATTATTGTTATAACGTATCAGCGGGCATTAAATTTTGAAACCAGTCCTTTGCAGCAGGGCCTCTCTGCAGAGGGGCAGAAGTAGCACCTGGAAGTTTCCAAGTGGTGCCAAAGCTGTCCCTTTTGCTCTGGGAACTGATGGCACTTGCAGCAGTCCCTCCACCTGCCCCACACTCGCACCCTCTACAAGCAGCTGCAGGGAGAGTCAGTGGGTAGGGGCAGAACAGAGTCCTGGGCACAGGCGTGCTGGGTTTCAGCTACTTTATGTCTTCTCTATGGTGCTTTCAATATGTTCCTGTAAGCTACAAGGATCAAAAGGAAAGGTATGCAAATAATACTGTGGGGTGGCCGACCAATGTTCTTCCTAAAGGCAAAATGAGGCATGGCTGCAGCAAGCCCCTGGCCTGCCAGAAGCAGAAGCTGTCTAGGAACAGGGGAGGCTGCATGGGCGAAGAGTGCAGAGCCCTCCCCACAAAGGCCGGCTTCCCCACAGCCTCTCTCCTGGTGCCACTCTCCCCTCAGCCGGTGCCAGTGGGGGAGGTAGTGGAGCACCACTCTGGGGCGTTTTATTACAGCAGGGTGGTGACCAGGCCACCGGGATCACGGACAAGCTCTCCTCACTCTGACAAGTGAACGAGGTGACAGAGAGGCTTCCAGGCTTTGT